GCGGGATTGCGTATTGCCTCTCGTATCCAAGTGCCAGGCGACGCCGGATATGACCGTCACAGCTGACTCCTCAACCCCTCCTCTCCCCCCACACGTCCTCCCCCTCCTTTCAACGACCACAGGGGGCACCTGAGAGCATGACGGCGGTGGTAGTGGTAGCGCGGTTCACACAAGACATAAAATCAGTATGTGGGGTTCCTCGGTGGGGTAATTTTTCAGTTCGCGTTCACTCTCTTGGGACCCTCTTGGGGCCCGCTTGGGACCCTCTTGCGCCATGTTGGGCGGCTCTGGGGCCGTCTCGGGGCGCTCTTGGGCCGTCTTGGGGCCCTCTTGGGGGCCTCTTGGGCAGTCTCTTGGAGCGTTTTTTGGAGCATCTTGGACGGTGCTTCAGCGCCAGAAACGCGAAACAGCGAGAATGCAATTACGCCACCGAGGAACCCCACATACTTATATTATGGCTGGAGTGATGAGAGCTGAAAACAAGCATGTGAGAATGATGTTGGTGGCCGTTGCCCCGCCGATACCGCTGTGCCCTGGACGACCGTCACGGATAGCGGCCGCAGTGAGAAACCACCCCCTGCGCACCCCCTATGGTGTCGAGAATATGCCATGCCTGCTGTGCCCTGGACGACCGTCACGGATAGCGGCCGCGGTGGGAGACCACCCCTTGCGCACCCCCTCTGGTGTCGAGAATATGCCATGCCTGTGCCCTGGACGACCGTCACGAGTAGCGGCCGCGGTGAGAGACCACCCCTTGCGCACCCCCTAATGTTGTCGAGAATATGCCATGCCTGCTGTGCCCTGGACGACCGTCACGGATAGCGGCCGCGGTGAGAGACCACCCCTTGCGCACCCCCTATGGTGTCGAGAATATGCCATGCCTGCTGTGCCCTGGACGACCGTCACGGATAGCGGCCGCGGTGAGAGACCACCCCCTGCGCACCCCCTATGGTGTCGAGAATATGCCATGCCTGCTGTGCCCTGGACGACCGTCACGGATAGCGGCCGCGGTGAGAGACCACCCCTTGCGCACCCCCTATGGTGTCGAGAATATGCCATGCCTGCTGTGCCCTGGACGACCGTCACGGATAGCGGCCGCGGTGAGAGACCACCCCCTGCGCACCCCCTATGGTGTCGAGAATATGCCATGCCTGCTGTGCCCTGGACGGTCACGGATAGCGGCCGCGGTCACGCGCACCCCCTATGGTGTCGAGAATATGCCATGCCTGCTGTGAGAGTCACGGATAGCGGCCCCACCTGCGCACCCCCTATGGTGTCGAGAATATGCCATGCCTGCTGTGCCCTGGACGACCGTCACGGATAGCGGCCGCGGTGAGAGACCACCCCCTGCGCACCCCTATGGTGTCGAGAATATGCCATGCCTGCTGTGCCCTGGACGACTGTCACGGATAGCGGCCGCGGTGAGAGACCACCCCTGCGCACCCCCTATGGTGTCGAGAATATGCCATGCCTGCTGTGCCCTGGACGACCGTCACGGATAGCGGCCGCGGTTGCGCGACCCCCCCCTCAATATCCAACGATGCCATGAGAGCCTGCTGTGCCCTGGACGACCGTCACGGATAGCGGCCGCGGTGAGAGACTAGAACCCCGCTATGCGGTGTCGAGAATATGCCATGCCTGCTGTGCCCTGGACGACCGTCACGGATAGCGGCCGCGGTGAGAGACCACCCCCTGCGCACCCCCTATGGTGTCGAGAATATGCCATGCCTGCTGTGCCCTGGACGACCGTCACGGATAGCGGCCGCGGTGAGAGACCACCCCCTGCGCACCCCCTATGGTGTCGAGAATATGCCATGCCTGCTGTGCCCTGGACGACCGTCACGGATAGCGGCCGCGGTGAGAGACCACCCCCTGCGCACCCCCTATGGTGTCGAGAATCTGCCATGCCTGCTGTGCCCTGGACGACCCTCACGGATTGTGCAGACGTCTTGGGTGTATGATGCAGTGAACATGCGTCTTGTATGTGCGAGTGTGTGCATGCGTGCGGCTGTATGTAGACGCGTGTCTCATGTACTTGCCGTGCATGTACTTGCCGTGCATGGAGAGGAATGAAGAGGAGGAGGGGAGGAGACGCGGGTGCGCCGCGGCAGGGAAGAAAACCAACCCCACGAAACATGTGGGGAAAAACATCGAGAACAAAAACAATGAAAATCAATGATTTTACACTCTCGGGGCGCTCGTGGGCGGCATCTTACAGGCCTCTTGGGGCGTCTTGGGGGCCTCCGGGGCAGTTTGAAACGCATCGTGCGTCGCAAGAGACCCCTGGAAGGCGTCTCGGGGGTTCTCGAGACCGTCTGGGGCCACCAGGATTGCCGTCTCAGGGCTCCCTGGGGCGACTTAGACCTCCCAGAGGCCCAGGCCCCGGTCCCCACACCTGTGGTCGAGGTTCTGGCCTTCGGCCCCCCGAGCCCCGTGCGACGTTACATCTCTCTCTCTCTCTCTATGTATATATGTATATACATACATACATACATACATACATACATACATACATACATACACATATACATATACATATACATATACATATACATATACATATACATATACATATACATATACATATTCATATACATATACATATACATATACATATACATATACACATACATATACATATACACATACACATACACAAACACATACACATACACAAACACATACACATACATATACATATACATATACATATACATATACATACACATCTACATCTACATCTACATATACACATAGAGATATTATATGATAGTCACACTACTCTCCCCTCTCCCCTGAGTCTGTGGCGGACTCTGTCTCGGAGTGTTTGGCCCCCCCTCCTCGCGTAGTTTTTTCCACACAGGATGTCGGCGAGTTGGGTGTTCTCTTTTGTTTGTTTTCACAATGCTGCTCTCGCTGAGGCGCTGGCCTCACTTTCGGGCTTCCGCTCGTTCCGAATCGTGCTCCCGCTGCAGCGCTGGCTTCATTTCCGCGCTTCCGCCCAGTCCGAATCGTGCTCCCGCTGCAGCGCTGGCTTCATTTCCGCGCTTCCGCTCGTTCCGAATCGTGCTCTCGCTGCAGCGCTGACGTCATTCTTTCCATTGCCATGCCACGCCATGCTTTTCGGTCCTTCCAAATAGTCCCCAGAATCCCCAACATGGGCGCCCGAAAACACAGCGAGAAGTGATTCCACATTCGGTGTCGATTCAATTTTTTGGGGGGCCGCGCAAGCCCCCCACTTTGGGGCGTCGCCACGCCATGCTATGTCATTATACGCGATAATCTTCAACGCCATGCTATGCCATGCTACGAAATCTGACTGTGCGAATATAGAGGAGATCTACGCCATGGTAAAGGATGGGAGGGAGGGGTAGGACGTCAGATATGACGCGAGCGTACCTAGCTTGCCCTCCTCCCCCTCTCCCTCCTCCCCCTCTTCCTCCGTCCCCTCCCTCCCTCCCTCCCCCTCCCCTCCCCCTCCTCCCCCTCCTCCCCCTCGCCCCTCTCCCCCTCTCCCTCCAACCCCTCCGCATGTACAATGCCACAATATGAATACTACTCTCCTCTCTCCACTGGTGGCGTCCAAAGAAATGTCCGGCCCCCCTCCGCGTACTGGTTTTTCACACACCGCATTCCCGGGAAACGGGCTTTCGCGTAGGATTTTGTCTAAATGCTGCTCTCGCTGAAGCGATGGCCTCATTTTCGGGCTACCGCTCGTTCCGAATCGTGGTCCCGCTGCAACGCTGGCCTCACTTCGGAGCTTCCGCTCGTTCCGAATCGTGCTCCCGCCGCAGCGCTGGCGTCATTATTTCTAGCGACATGCCACGGCATGGTTTTCGATCCATCAAAATAGGCCCCAAAATCTACAAAATGCGCCCCCGAAAACACAATCGGAAGTGATTCCACATTCAATGTCGATTCGTTGACTCTGTGCGCCGCGGAAACTCACCCCCCACTTTTGGGCGTCGCCACGCCATGTTATTTCCGGCTACGCGTCCTCCGAATCGTGCTCCGGCTGCAACGCTGGCCTCATTTCCGCGCTTCCGCTCGTCCCGAATCGTGCTCCCGCTGCAGCGCTGGCGTCATTATTTCCAGCGCCGTGCCACGGCATTGCTTTCGGTCCTTCCAAATAGGCCCTAAAATCTAAAAAATTGTCCCCCGAAACAAACATCGGAAGTGATTACACATTCAGTGTCGATTCGTTGATATTTTGGGGCCGCACACCACTTTTTGGGGCGTCGCCACGCCATGCTATGTCAGGCTACGCGACAATCTTCAACACCATGCTATGCCATGTAATGATATGCCATGCTACAACATCCGACTGTGCGAATATGGAGGAGATCTACGCCATGGTAAGGGATGGAAGGGAGGGTAGGACGTCAGATATGATGCGAGCGCACCTGGCTTGCAATCATCCGGGCCCCCCCCTCCCCCTCCCCCTCTCCCCCCACCTCCCACCCCATCTCCCCTTCCCCCCTCCCCCTCATCCTCCTTTCCCTCTCCCCCTTTCCTCTTTCCAAGGCCTTGAAAGCAATGTCCGATGTACACAGGTCTCTTTGCTCACGGTGGTCTCCAGGCTCACACGCGGTCTCACGCAACATCCATGCTCTATGCTGTAGATGCGATCAACGATCGACGGAATGAAAGACGAGCGGGGAGGTGAACCGGCTACCAGTACGGCAGCACTAGAGGGCGGGGAAGCAGTCGAGGAGGATATCAGATGACGGCAGAGAGCAATACAGTAAGCGAGGAGAAGAGCGGAATCATATTGTGGCGCAGCTGACTGGGCCTGACCATCGACATGATAAGGGCTGGTTGTGCTGTACACCCATGTGTGCAGGCGTCGTGATGAGATGACGACTGGTACTGTACAGCGGTGCGTGGAGGTTGGAATTGGCTGACTGTCGCGGTGGCTGTGCTGGACACGACAACCCCTCTCGCTCCTCATGGCTAACCCCACCACTTACCCGCCCTCAGCGTATGTCAGATCTGTGTGAGGGTAGTCGGGAAGACTGTCTGTAAGCGCCATCGTGAATCCACGAGGGCACCTCTGGAAGCCTAGAGACTCAGCATGCGAGAACATGTGAGACGTGTCGACTGTTGGATGGTCCGCGGTTCCGCGGTATGAGCGTGTAGACTGGTAGCAGCACTGGTCACTGAGTCACTGGTTCAATACCGAAGGAAACTGCGGGGCTCTACTCTTCCATGCAAGTGCGACTGTTGCTGGTAGCCGTCGAGATGATTGAAACGACGGGCTCGAATTCCCCGGAGTTCTCCAGTGGCGGCACGGGTGAGGCTCTGGAGCACCAGGCGCGCTGTACGTTCGAGTATGGCTGCTGTTGCCGATGATCAAGCCGAGGCAGTGGCACTCACGGCAGGAACTGCAGGATCTCTGCACGCATCTTGGAAGCCATAAGTGCCAGGCAGATCAGGCAAATAATAGTGAAGGGGCCCTGGGACTCACAAATAAATACACACAAATAGAATTATTCCCCATAGTTTCTCATATTTTCTGGGTTTCTGTCTTCACCCCCACTTCCCATATTTTCCTATATTTTCCTGGGAGTCGACGATAAATTGTGTCTGTGTGTTTTTGCCCTCCTGAAATAGGATGCCCAGGATCGAACTTCCGCGACCGCCCCAGACACCCGCTCCCTGTGGGGGTCGGCGGAGTGGCGCACGCCACTTGAATGAGGGACGCGCGACGAGGATGCAGGGGCCCTCCTCCTCCTCCTCCTCCCTCTTCCTCCTCCTCCTCCTCCTCCTCCCTCCTCCTCCCTCTCCTTCTCCTCCTCCGCCCTCCTCCCTCCCTCCTCCTCCTCCTCCTCCTCCCTCCTCCTCCTCCTCCTCCTCCCTCCTCCTCCTCCTCCCTCCTCCTCCTCCTCCTCCTCCTCCTCCTCCTCCTCCTCCTCCTCCTCCTCCTCCTTGAAAGGTCGCGCCGACACTCTGCGAGCGGGGCGCGGCCAGCGAAAGCGACAAAGGATGGGCCGAGGGCGTGTGAGAAAAAAACACACTGTGGGAAAAAAACGCACACTTCGACAGATTGTGTGTTTCCTTCAGCCTGCTTTTTCCCCAGACTTTGCGAGCGGGGCGCGGCCAGCGAAAGCGGCAAAGGATGGGCCGAGGGCGAAGGATGCAGGGCAACCTCGGACAATCGATCCTACTATGCGGGTGGACTGTACGGGTACAGCAGGAGCTCGACCACAAGAGGCCTTCCACAAAAAACCAGACCCTGGAACCCCAGGACGCCCACGGATTCTTGGCATGGGAACGTCGCGCTCTCCGTAGCCAAACCACCTTAACCCAAGACACCCGGGGCACCCCGGACGCAAGCAGAGTGCTCCCTGGCATGTCGGGGGCGCGCAAACATGGATCAGTGATCCATGGATCTGGCGCGCGGTCGCCAGATCCATGGATCCGGGGAGGTGCCCTCCCCAAAATGCGGCCGGTGCCGCTTCGTTTGGCGGCGGGAATCAGCGATTTCCCATGGAAACGGGACCCGTTGCTAATCCACGCCCCCTTGATCCACGTTTGCGATCGCCCGAGAGGAGGAGGCGGCGGAGGAGGGGGAAGAGGAGGAGGAGGAAGAGGAGGAGGAGGAACAGGGGAGGAGGAGGAGGAGGAGGAGGAGGATGAGGAGGGGGATAACCGAGGATAACCCACTGGGGACCAGTGTCCCGTCCTTACTGCGGGCGGGCGCAAGAGGGCACGGGCCTCCGCGCCACGCCAAATAGTGCTTGCACTGCGCCCCACGGCGCGACCAGGACCCGCCCCCAGGAGAAGCGCAGTAATCTTCGCACCGCGCACAACCCCCGAGGGCAAAGGGGTCCACAAGGCTACGACTACCCGCGGACCTCGCACCCGTGCTGGCCGCAGAGCTCACAGGTTGTCCTCCCATGCCTGGAGCTTCTCCTCAAACTCCTCGCGCGAGAGGCACACCTTGACCAACTCGTCGATCTTCGCCGACTTGAGCTGGTACTTCCAATCGAGGTAGTCGCAGGCTGGGGCGTCCCTGATGTCCTTCTGGATCCGCTCCCCGTACTGCTTGGCCACTGGCTTCATCGAGAACTTCTCCTCTGGGCCCGCCACCTCCTGCTCCGACGAGCTTACTGTCTCCGACATGTCGTCCGAGTCCCTTACCTTCAGCACTCGCTTGGCCTCGACGTCTGGGGCGAGCTTGATGTCCACCTGGATCAGCTCCCTGTTCAGCTTCGCTGGCTTCGCCGAGAACTTCTCCTCAGGGCCCGTCGCTGTCGCCTCCGACACGCTCGCCAGAACCGTGATGTCGTCCACCGTCTCCGACAGGTCTGCTTCCTCTGGCTGCATGCAGTCCCCACCCCTCCCCGCCGGCGCCGCCCTTGACTTTCTCCTCGCTGGGGGGGGGGCGGGGCCCGCCTCGGCGCCCTTGTGGCACCCCGACCCGTCCCCCTTCTTCAGCTCCTCCTTGCCGACAGCCGCCGCCAACTGCCCGACCTCCACGATCAGCTGCAGCGCGAGCGGGTGCGACTGGGTGTTGCGGAGCTTGCTGAGCTTGCCCAGCCGAGCGGCGGCATTGCTGCCCCGCTCCCCGTGGGCCCGCAGCCACCGCTTCGCGTCCGTGACGTTCAGCTCGCCTGCGTGCCCCGACACGGCCTTGACCTTCGCCAGCACGACGTCCATGTCGCCGACGGGGTCCTGGTCGTCGCCACCTGCGCCAGCACACGGCCTGCTGCCCGCGGCCGCCCCTTGGGCTGCCCCGCGCGCCGCCGCCGCAACCAGCGCCGTCGTGGCTTTTGGGCCCAAGGCAGGGCCTGCTGCCGCCAAGAACGCCCCGAACGCCGCCTGGGCGTAGGGCAGATCCGCAAGATAGCTCATCCGCACGTCCACTGCTCCAACGCCGCGGGACGCCATGGAAATCGAGCAATTCGGTATCAGAACTCACAGCAAGTGAGGCGCCGCAGTCGAGAGGGCAACGCGCCCATCTTGAGCCAAAAATGGCTACGGAGGATGAGGAGGGGGAGGAGGAGGAGGAGGAGGAGGAGGAGGAGCCGTTGCTAATCCACGCCCCCCTAATGCGTGCTTGCGATCGCCTGAGCATGGGCCTCCGCTGTGCGGGCATGTGTGAGGGCCGGCGGCCGCACGCCGCCTCGGACCAGGGCCAGATTCTCTCCAGACGAGCGCGTTCCACTGCTCGCAAAGTGACTACTCGCAAGGGGCCCAAGGACACACACATAAATACACACACACAAAATGATTCCCCATATTTTCTTATACTTTCTGTTTTTTTTTGTCTTCCCGCCCAATTCCCATATTTTCCCATATTTTCTAGGGGATCGACGATTCATTGTGTCTGTGTGTTTTTTTCCCTCCTGAAGCTACTCGCAAATGGCCCGGATCCCCCGCGGAGGCTCTGCGATAAATCACACCAGAGCGAACATGTGTTTTCTCGGACGTCTGCGAATAGGCACTCTGCGAGTAGTGGAACGCGCTCGGTGACTCTCGGGCGGCCTTCCGGGAAGGGGCGTGGGGGGGGGGGAATCCCCCCCCTCCCCACGCCCCGCCCTGCAGCTCGGGCGGGCCGTGCGCAGGAGCAGCGCTCCCCCCCACCCCCTCAACCCCGCCCGCCTCGGGCCGCACCTGCAGGCGACGCCCCTCCCTGGCGTGGAGCAGCACACAGCCCCAGCGGAAGCCCCCTCCCCGCTCGCCCCTCCCCCCCCCCTCCGCCCTCCTCTCAGGGGGACGTAAGGCCTGGGTACAGGGGACTCGGAAATCCCCGACGAGGTCGTCAAAAAAATGACGAGGCCGAGCCTGCATTTTGACGAGGCCTCCCGCTGCAGACATCCCACGAAACTCCTCCTCGTCAAAATCCGAGGCGCGGTCGTCAAAAAACGATGGCGAACCCGAGTCCTGGCAAACCCGGGTCTTACGCTCCCCCGATCCTCTCCCCCACCCCTCCGCCCTCCTCCCCCCTCCCTCCTGCCCGCCTGCCCCTCCGTCCTCGGAGCTCCCGCCGGTCCAGCGCTCCTTCTCCTCGCGGCCGCCGCCTGCTGCGCCGCTCCTCTCGGGCGGTGGGCAAGACGGGGCTTCGTGGGGCCTGGTTTAGTGATGCGCATTGGAGGAGGCTCCCCCCCGCCCCCCTTCCACCGACCGGGACTGCCGCCACCCGCAAAACACCAGCTACGGCAGACCTGGCCTGGTGCTTCCAGTCCACCTTTTGGGCTTCGGGGCTCCATTACTGACCGGCTCCCATTGACCGGGGTCCTGGCTACACCAGACGAGCGCGTTCCACTACCCGCAGAGTAACTGCTCGCAAATGGCCTGGACCCCCCGCGGGGAATCTGCGATACGTCACATCGATCAAGGGGACGTAAGACCTGGGTACAGGGGACTCGGAAATCTCCGACGAGGTCGTCAACAAAATGACAAGGCCGAGCCTGCATTTTGACGAGGCCTCCCGCTGCAGACATCCCACGAAACTCCTCCTCGTCAAAATCCGAGGCGCGGTCGTCAAAAAACGATGGCGAACCCGAGTCCTGGCAAACCCGGGTCTTACGCTCCCCCGAATCGAAACAGACACTTGCTTTTCGGGCACTTGCGCGCAGGCACCCTGCGAGTGGTGGCACGCGCTCGGTGCTATGCCCCATCCGCGGGTGGGTGCCGGCCGCCGGCCCCTGCCCCGTGGGCCCCCGGGGTATGCCCACGATCAGGGAGGCGCCCTCCTCCTCCTCCTCCTCCTCCTCCTCCTCCTCCTCCTCCTCCTCCTCCTCGTCCTCCCCCTCCCACTCCGCCTCCGCCTCCCCCTCCTCCCCCCTCCTCCCCCTCCTCCCCCTCCTCCCCCCTCCTCCCTCTCCTCCCTCTCCTCCTCCTCCTCCTCCTCCTCCTCCTCCTCCTCCTCCTCCTCCTCCTCCTCCTCCTCCTGGGGCCAGGGAAGGCCCTGGGACCAGAACAAAAGGAGCTGCGAGGTCTCGTCTGGGTCCGCGTGCACCTGCCAGGAGCCCACGACAGCGGGGGCAGTTGCGCAACTGGCGGACCCCCTGGGAGCCACGAGAGGTCTCGACGGGATCTGCGTGTCCCTCCGCTCCGCTGGACCTCCTGGGAGCCCACCAAGGTTGCGACAGCTGCACGGTTGAAGCCCCCAGGGTGCAGACAAGAGGGATAAGGCAGGAGGGGGAACGGAGGAGGCAGAAAGGTAAAGGAGCTTAGGGGATTAGTCCAGTCCTGGCCACAACAGAGCTGTCCTGGCAAACTGTGTACAGGAGAGCCCAAAATCGAATCGACAAAGCTCGAACTGAGCCGGACCGGCAGAAATCGGCAGCCAAGTCGGGAGATGTCGAATCGGCAGAAATCGGCAGGCTAGCAGGCCTCCGCTGAGAAATCGGCAGCCACATCGGAATCTGAAGTCGCATCGAGTCGGAATCGGCGGCCATCGAAATCAAATCGAATCGGAGGAATCGAAATGAGCAGACGAACAAACGCCATAGACACAAACTCTTGGCGCTCCGCGCGGACTTCTTGGATTTGCGCTGGACCACCGGAGGCGCCGCCAGGGGGGGCCAGGCGCCGATGCGAGAAATCCGCGCGAGGCGCCAAACAAGTTTATGCTTACGGGGCAGTTTGTTCTAAATATATATATATGATGTTTTAACATATGGGAATGTAATACATGATTAATGTATGAATGCATGTATGCATGAACTCATCGTTGTTTTTAATACTACATCCCTACAGTTGTAATACGTGATCCGCACGCGGAGCATGTATAAAAAAAAACGGCACTGTATGGCGTTGTTGTTTCCCCTTCTTCGAGAAATGAGCTCCAGTGTATCCCTGCGGGCTTGATGCGTGTGCGGGGCCGCCGCTGTGTGCGGTCGCGCCCTCGGCCTGCCCTGGGGCAGGCGAGGAGCACACGCGCGGGCAGAGCCCCACTGCAGGGGCTCAGGCGTCCCAACATTCTCGTGGATGTTCTGGCTTTTCGTCATCCCCCCCACCTCCCATATTTGCCCATACGCGTGGAAATGGACGATTCATTGTGTCTGTGTGCTTTCCCCTCCTGGGATGACCTAGCCCTTTTCACAACCCATACCCCAGCACATGTCACGTAATTAGCCTCGTCTCTACCCGGGAGGCGTCGTGACCAAAGATGCCTAACACTTTGCGGAACTGGCGCCCGAACTGTTCTGACCGCGCGGGAGTGTGACCGAAATGTTTGGTTCGAAACCAAGGCGTTTTTTTGATTGCTGTTTTTCAAAGTTCGGTCACAATGTCGGTCGCACTACGCTTTCGGTCACAACTTCGGGCACGCTTTCGGTCACCGACCGACTTCGGTCGGTCACCTGCCTATTCGGCCGATGCAGTCGGACCTAGGCCAGCAGAATATCCTTCTAACCAGGAGACCCTCCGTCGGCCAAAACGAACAAGGCATCCCAAGGGTGCCCTCCCCAGGATGCACAGGAGCGTCCAGCAAAACACAAAGAAGAACACGAGGGCACTCTCCCCGAATATCGACCTCGACCTGGCACCTCGGCTCGACAGCAGGGGCTGGGCGCCACGAAGCTGCCTCAGGCGTTGCACTGCCTGGCGCGCCTGCTTGTCCAGTCGGAGCGCTACAAACTCACGCTTCCTCCTCCTCCTCCTCCTCCTCCTCCTCCTCCTCCTCCTCCTCCTCATCCTCTCCCTCCCCCGCATCCAGGTCCTTCTTGCCCTCCCCGTCCTACTCCTCTTCCTCCTCTTCCTCCTCCTCGGCCCCCGAGCGGGGCCCCGGGGCGGCCAGAAAGTTGGCGCCCCTGCGGCGCCTCCCCAGCCACATGGGGCGGGCGGGCAGCGCAGCGCGGCCGGGCGCGGCCGCGGCAGCCGCGCGTCGCGCAACCGGCCTCGACCTTCCGGGCCGGCGCGCGCCCGCGTGGGCTTTGTTGCCCGCGGCTGCGGAGGAACCCCAGGCCCTGACGTCGCCGCGTCGCCTCCCACACCTCCTATGTGCTTCAATCAAACATCCCTTTATCCTGGCGGAGGACCCGACCTTATGCAGTTGTGGATACCGCAGTTGTGAGTATTTCCTTCGGTGGAGCTCCCTAGCCGCATGCGAACGCAGCCGCTGGGGCATTCGGTGGAGCTCCCTATGGAAATGGGAGTGGAACCGCATGCGAACGCAACCACTGGGGCCTTCGCGGAGCTCCCGATGGGGCCACGAAACGTGCGAGGGGTGTGTCGAAATGGCGGCGGAACCGCATGCGGACGCTGCCGCTGGGGCCTTCAGCGGAGCTCCCTATGGGGCCACGAAGCGCGTGAGGGGTGTGCCGATATGGGGTGGAACAGATGCGAACGCAGCCGCTGGGGCTTTCGGTGGAGCTCCCTATGGGGCCACGAACAGTGTGAAGGGTGTACCGACATGGCGGGGGAACCACATGCGAACGCAACCACTGGGGCCTTCGATGGAGCTCCCTACGGGGCCAAGAAACGTATGAGGGGTGCCGAAATGGCGGCGGAACCGCATGCGAACACAGCCATTGGGGATTTCGATGGAGCTCCTTGTGGGACCGCAAAACGTATGAGGGGTGTGCCGAAATGGGGGTGGGGAGGATGGAGGAACGGGAGGAGGAGGGGGAGCAAGAGAGGAGGAAGGAAGGCACGCGGGGCACTGTCTGTCTATTCAAAACGAGGGCCCCACACCACAGGATGGTGGGGCCAAATCAGATATCCACTTTTGTTGGTGTTGCGCCAGGGCTGCTATTCCATGGTGAGAGGAGGACCAGGAGTGAGGGGGCGACAAAGGAGGGCCAAGGGAGGATGAGGAGGAGAAAGAGCAGAAGGAGGTTGAGGAGTAGGAGTAGTAGGAGTCAAACTAGCCAGCTCGAGCGAGCCAAGTATGGCATGCCCATTCCCGCCCGCCCTCCCACAACATAAGAAACAGTGCTGGCGCAACTGGGGACCGAAACTAGATCGGCAAGGTGGTTTGCCACAGCTGATGCAGCCGCGATGGCGGTTACCGAT